AGTGTCAAAACATTTTTGTTGCCTCGTGGGGAACAGCCAGGGAGGGAGAGTTTGGAGTGCAAGAAAGAGAGGGTAACCAATTGAATAAAGCCCTTAGAAAGATGGAGGGCCCGGACCCAGACACAGAAGTCAGCCTTAAAAAGGCAAGACAACATTTCTTCCCAGAAAGGAAGAAAAGATGATTGAAGATATGGAGAACTTCAGAGCTGGAGAGAAGGAAAAATGGGAGTATTCATAACTCATGACTTCTAATTTGTTGGTGAAATCAGAGGGAAAACCATTTGCCAAGAGTGGGGAAAATGAGGGTAGAAAGGGGGTCTGAGCAAAGTGGTGAGAATCTCCAATAGAACTGACAGTAGGAGAGGGATTTAATGGAGTGTGAGCTGCTGAGCTGACCAGGGGACCTTCCTGGAGCTGTAAGCCCTGCATTTATGAGGGAGCCCAACAGCATGGCTGGGCAGTCTTTCTATAGAGGGACTCGTGATTGGTACAGGGTTAGATGGTGGCACAGCAGGCTTGGCAGAGCTTCAGAGGATGAGAGAATTCAGTATATTGATGAGGGCGATTTAAATGATTAGATCCCAAGATGCTTATGGGAAAAGTGAATTAGAAAGAGTCTCAAGGAGTGGATAAGTAAGTAGTTGGAATATGGATATCTAGGAAGCCAAAGGATAGGAGTTCATGGTCAAAGTGAGGTTTTTTTCAGAGTTTGACATGCTATAGGAGTTCTGGGGAACACAGAGTTTGCTGGGTGCCCACGGGAATAAAGAACTGGTCACAGAAGTTGTGGAGGTCAGAGGGTCGTGGTGCTGGCAGGTTCAGTGTTCTTCCTCATGGATGGGAGCATTTCTCAGGGAGGTGACAGGTGTTCTTTTGGAGAAGATTTTTATGTAGGTACTCAGAGATTGCCTTCAACAGTGGAAAGAAGATTAACTCCTCGGAGAATGCTTGATGAAGAGAGAGGTGGTAGAGTCCGGGTCCGAGCCACCGTGGGATAGCAGGGAGTTTGCTGGCCCTGTCTCTCAAGGTCAGGACCCTGGACTCAAGGCTGAAGGGCAAAGCTAGGTTTGTAGTACAGGAGGATGGCAGGAAGAATGGTCTGGAAAAGAAGGAATGCTCTGCAAAAGCATCTTAGCAAAGGGACAATGGGTGTGGGGTACGGATGAGTAGGCAAAAAAATATGAGAAAGGACGTTCTAAGGAGAGACAGACCAGTGAGAGAAAGGGCTGAGCCGCAGAGGGGTGGAGATTTGTATGCAGGTTTTCCAAAGGAAATGCTGAACTGTATATTTCTTTTGCTTATCACAAAGCAGTATCTGCTCACTACAGAGAGAACCAGACAAGCAAAAACAAGTAAACAAAAGAAGTGTAAGAACTGCCCACAATCTCAGGGTCACGGAGCTTTTCCTGTTGTCATGTTCCTCCCCTCTAGTTCCCACTGCCACAGCTTCAGGTCAAGGCCACATCATCTCTAGAATAAGCTTGTCCTCTCTGGCTCATAAATGTCTCTCCCTAGCTGAGCCCCAGGCCTACCCCAACCCCCTCCCATTCTTCCCTTCCTGTATGAGCTACCACAGTCATCTTCCCAAAACACCACTTTCCTTAGTCACTTCTCTTTTTAGGTTCTATCATATTCCACATTCCCTCCCTGGCTCTCAAGGGCATTGGGAACCTGGAGCCATCTTACCTAACCACCGTGTTTGCAAACCTTCACCTTTACTTAGATATGCCTTCACCCTTTCCTCCTGACTCAGGTCCCCCTCTGCCTCACTTCTGCGTCTCTGTCCCCATCACTAGGGTGCCTGCCCCATCAGGATGACTACCCCTGTCCAAATTCTCCCAGTTGTCAAGACCCCACACCCCACTCCAGACTATGCTGATCTTTTCCTTTCCAGGAACTCATCTGACTGCTCCTTTTAGGACTTACATCAGTTCTGTTTCAGTAAATGCTTGGGGAGGAAGCACAGGATTTACAGCTAAGTGAAACCCAGTCCCCTGATCTTATTAATGAGGAGCCTGAGATTCAGGGAGGCCAAGGGACATCCCCAAAGTCAACCAGGAAACTATTAGTAGAGCTGGATACTAGAACCCTGATTCTCAGACCTGAATGCTACTTGTTGAATTGAAAATTGCTTTCCGAATACATCTTTTCTCTGATGCCTGGCCACGAAGCCCCAGAGACTCAAAGAAAGCAATGGTTATCAGTATTTCGAGTACATCAGAATAACCTGGAGAGATTTCTAAAAGTCCAGACTCCTAAGCTCAATAGGGGAGAACTCTGACTCAGTAGGTCTAAGATAGGACCTGGGTATCCATAAAACATAGCCTCCCCGGATGATCCTGATATAGGGAGCTTTCAGATCATCCTTTGAGAAAATCTGCTTTAGAGCCCATTCTTTGGTTTTGCCTTCTTTTGAGCTCTCTGATACTGGCTCTGTCGACACTGTTAAAGTTTTCTGAAGCTTTCTCATCTCAGGAGCAGGTTTGGACTACCCCATCTCCAGATTTCCATCCAGAATGTCAGAACAATGGCTCAGTGCTGCAGCCTGTGTACCTTCTCAAGTTCACACTGGCCTGGGCCTCAGCTGCTGTCTTTCTCGTTAATAGGGGGCCTGGTAGTCAAATTATTTTCCAAAGTAGTTTTAGGCATCCCATGGCAAAATATTGAGTATAGTAGAATTCTCGTGGGAAACACTCCATCTGCCAAGGTGTTTGTGAGCACCTCCTGAAGCGTGGCTGCCTACCCTCTGTGGCCTGCCAACTGTCTATGCCACAGGTAAACCAAACCCAAACTGTCTGCACCCAAGTAAACCAAACCCAAACATGTGCCTAGAGCTTGCCAAATCCTAGCACACGGAGCCCTGGGCCAAGATTAGGAGGAGGAGAGGCAGTTTGAACGGTGATTAGGGCAAGGCTCTGGAGCACACTGCCTGGGTTTGTACCCCAGCTCCACAATTTCTAGCTGTGCAACCTTTTACATGTTTCCTGATCTTTAAAATGAGAATAAAAACTATAAAATGATTATAATTATACTATAAAGATAAAAATAATTCCTACCTCGCAGAATGGTTGTAAAGATAACAAATTAATGCATATAAAGCACCCAAAACCATCCCTGTTTGGCACACAGTTAGTAAGTGTTCAATAAGAGCTTGCTGTTATTATAGTTATTTCATAAAAACTAGGATGAAATAATTAGACTCTAAAGAGATGACTCACTGCTCTACCCAGTTATCAGTCTGAAAGTTACCAGTCCCCTCCTTGTAGCATGAGCATCGATCAGAGGAATGACTAGCAATGTAGTAATAGCTCTTGCAAATGCTGCCTGGACCTCGGAAGACAATTAAGAATGCTAGGTATTGCCCAGCAATAAAGTCAAGCCTTGCATAGTTTAAGAAATGTACAGCAGTTCTGCGTTTTGGTGTGTTGATAAGGTGGCAGTTATATAACAGGCTGCAACCACGCAGATGAGCAGAGCCAACGGTGGGGGAGAGAGTGTTCCTAAAAGATGGGTGAGTGTTGGAGTGAAGGGTGTGACAGATGAAAGACATGGCAGCAGCTGCAGTCTTCATCAAGTTTGGGGCTGGGAGATGCACGCATGCCCCGTGCCATTAAGGGTGTTGGCCTGACAGCAGGAAAAACATCTCTTGACATTTACTGTCAGGCCAACACCAATGGAGGAATGAAAGTTTGCTTTATATTTGCCATATTACCAATGTTTTCTTACTCCTTGGTAATGTTTTTAAGCTTAAAGTAAGATTGCATCAGTCTCTAACATGACAGAAATTAATCTCTGAAATTACATGTTTTATCAGACATCTGTAAAAGGCTCAACTTAGCCCGTTGCCAAAGCATCACTCACATTGCCAAGTTAACCTTCCTTGGTGCTCAGACATTGCAGTGCCATTCTCTAGCTTCCAAGTATGAGGAGCCCTAGAGGAGTGTTGGGAAAGCAGGTTCTAGTAGCATATTACAGTTTTAGGGTGGGAGATCCTAGTCCATGAGCACTTAGCAAGAGATCCCATGTGCTAACCACTAAAATACTTAGACTGCCCTGTTTGAGTCATACAATATCTCTTTTTTTTTTTTTTTGAGACAGTTTCGCTTTGTTACCCAGGCTAGAGTGAGTGCCATGGCGTCAGCCTAGCTCACAAGCAACCTCAAACTGCTGGCTCAAGCAATCCTTCTGCCTCAGCCTCCAAGTAGCTGGACTAAGGCATGTGCCACCATGCCCGCTAATTTTTTTATATATATTAGTTCCAATTAATTTCTTTCTATTTATAGTAGAGACGGGGTGTCGCTCTTGCTCAGGCTGGTTTCCAACTCCTGACCTTGAGCAATCCAGCGCCCGCCTCCCAGAGTGCTAGGATTATAGGCGTGAGCCACCACGCCCGGCCCAATATCTCATTAAAAGGGGACTGACTAGTTTAAATAGATTGCTTGGTGTTTTCACAACATAAGACTCAAACTTTTGGAGACCAGAAAGCCAGTTTGTTTCTGATCTCTGGGTCTTTTAAAATAAGCAATTTTTAAATATTTACAAGTGAGAGCAAAATTTGGAACAAATATTTTCTTTTTTATTACTGCCGGTCCAACCAATGTGGGAGATCAGAATGCTAGCTTGATGAGGCTGAGTGGTAGGCAGTAGGCAGGAGGCCTTAGCTAGCTATAACTTTTATTTATTCATGTTGTACCTCTTCAGTGGAGGACATGGACCACACTGAGCCATAGAGGAAGGACAATGACATAACACAGTCTCACTGAGCACATACATGGAAGACATTAATTTGAATACCAAACTGTTTGAAATTTCATAATAAAGTTTTTAATAAGTGACTTAGTGGCTGGGAGTGGTAGCTCATGCCTAAGTACTCTGGGAGGCTGAGCTGGGAGGATCGCTTGAGCTTAGGAGTTCAAGACCAGCCTGAGCAAGAGCGAGACCCCATCTCTACTAAAAATAGAAAAATGAGCGTAGTGATGTGCACCTGTAGTCCCAGCTACTTGGGAGGCTGAGGCAAGTGGATTGCTTGAGCCCAGGAGTTTGAGTTTGCTGTGCTGTGAGCTATGATGACGTCAGTGCACTCTACCCCGGGTGCAAGAGCGAGTCTCAAAAAGAAAAAGTGACTTAGCATATTTGAGAAAAAGATGTCAGAAAATAAAAATATAACTAAACAATTATAAAATGTAATAGAAGGAGTAGAAAATGAAATTGGGGAGTTTGCAAAAGATAGAATGAAAAGATAAAGAGATAGAAAATAGGAGAGAAATAATAAATAAAAAATTTAAATGGTACATCCAAGAAGTTCAGTATCTGGTTAATAGGAGTTCTACAGAGAAAGAACACAGTGAATATAGAAAAGGAAGTTATCAAAGAAATAATACAAGAAAATTTTCAGAACTGAAAGTTAAGGCATTCTATTTTGAAAGGTACTTTCAATCTAGAGCCTGTACATTGAATGAAAAAAAAATTACCTATACCTAGGTACATTATGATCAATATCCAAAATTCCAGAAATAGTGAATTATAGAAGCTTTTAGAAAGGAAAACTTGTCATAGACAAATAAGTGAAAATCAGAATGATATCAGATTTCTTTACATCAGTACTGGAAAGTAGAAGACAGAATAAAGTCAACAAAATTTTGAAGGAAAATTATATTCCATGTGGAATTTTATACTCAGCTGTATTTTCAATCAAGTGTAAAGATAGAACAAAGACATTTTAAAATCTGCAAGAACTCAGAATTTTACTTCCTGTGGATCCTTTTCAAGGAAACAACCAGAATAAGTACTTCAGCAGAATGAGGATAAGTCAAAAGCAGGGAAAAACAGAACCTCGGGAAGCAGGGAACCAACACAGGAAAACAGGCAGGAGAAGCTCAGTGGTATGTAAAATGGGCCCAGCTACTTAGGAATTCCCAAATTATATGATATACTTGGTCATCTGGAAAATAATACATATATATATATATTAAGGTAAAATATTTGGAAAAATTTGAATATAGGTACAAAGAAAATTAAATGAAATAAAGAAGAAGTATTAAGGGAAAAATTATACATGGAAAAATAAAACTCTGGCTTTTTGGTGAATAGTTCTTTATTATCTTAATAGTGTAAGGGAAGGAGAAATGTGGTAGATGATGTAAAAGCTAAAATATAAATGATTATGACAGTAAGTTAATAGTGAAGGATAAAATAAAAGTCAAGAAATGACAATATTAGCATACTGTTTGGTTAAAAAAAAGCCAAAAGTGTTGAAAGTGTTTGCCTCAAGGTATAGTGCCTTTTATCTTTTTTTGCTTGAGCAATTTGATTTAAATCCGTCAATAGAAAACTGAAGCCTGCATTGTCCAGCAAGCTTCTGCCACCACAAGCATCCCCAGCATGGTGGGTGACAGCACAGGGTCACAGCCACTATCAGATCCAGGCTCTCTGCCTCGAGGTTCCTCCCCACAGGACGCCCTCCCTGTCTAGTGGCAGGTAACTGGGCTGTCTCCTGCCAGAGTCATACCAAGTTTCATATGAGGTTATGAGGCTGAGCGCGGGGGTGTATATCTCATAACAGGAAGGGAGGAAAGAGGAAGGAAGGAGAAAAATCACCTTCATAGATGGATTTAGAAAATGGTTTGCCACTTTGTTATTGAGACAACTCCAGGGAAATTCCATCCGAGAGGCACCAGCCAGCTAAATATGATATCAAATGACAGCTCCACTTCACCTTCTGAAGCTTGACTCAATAGTGTATCTCTTTGCCAGCCCCAAGGGTAGATTTAAGCAGTAGGCATACTGGTCTCTCCCATTCCTACCCTGTTCCAAATTGGAGTTGGGATATGGTGGTACTAAGGGTTCCAGGCTGACCTAACCCAGGGATCAGTCTAGAGAACATAGAATGGGCCGGATTTCCCTCCACCTCTCCTGCTCCCTCGGAGGGTGACCGTCTCTGCATCCATCACCACTGCTGACTCCCAGCACCTTACCATAAATCTGGGGCCTATTCCAGACAAGACAAACCCATGTCTGGGCTCACTGATTATGACTGGACCACCCAGAACATGGTGGTACTCAAGCAGCCATTCACCTCTCTATACCCTGCTTCTGTTGACCCGCACTGTCTGAAAGAAGTGACTGTAAAGGGAAGAGCCTTCCTACTCCTACACACAGGTGTGCAGGACACCAGGCCAGCCGCAGGCGAGGACACAGCTGTTTGTGTAGCCTGGTCAGTATCAAAGCCCAGGCTACCGCCTTCTACTCCAGACTTGGCGTGCCATTTTCTAGTGGAAACTGCAGTACTGAACTCTTCATTAGGGAGGGCCTCTTGCACTTTGAATTAGTTGTCACTTAATCTGTTAATGGAAGCATTTTCCTTTGAAAAGGACATCCTTTATTTTTCAATAGTTAGTCACTTTTTAAAAATTTTGTTTGTTTTCTTATAGAAGTAATACGTGCTTACAACAGATTGGAACAACACAAAAGTATTTTAAAAGAAGATTGTCTCCCCATCCTATCGATCGAGAGAAAGGATGGTGTATTTGTCTGAACAACTTTGTATAACATAAATATGTATGTCTACATGCAGGTATACAAAATATATATGTATTTACATGTATACCTTCACAAACAGCTATGACTATGCATGTATAGTTTAACAGAAAAATGAGATCAAGGCAACATGTTTTTTCTGTTGACATATATTATAGACATCTTTTCCTATCAGAACTTACAGATCTGCTTTATTTGTAAGAATATTCTTTGTACAGATGGACCTTAATTCATCTAATCAGTCCCTTATTGATGAACATTTAGATTTGCCCAGGCTTTTGATATTTTATCAGTGCTGCAATAATACCCTTAACTCTGAAGTTGTAGAGACTTAGTTCAGATTCTAATACCCAATTCACTTACTTTGTGACCTTTAACAAGTTATTTAAACTCTCTGTGCCTCAGTTTCCTGATTTGTAAAATGGGAATCAAATTGTTCTCACAGTGTTCCTATCAGGGAAAAAGCTAAATATATTGTAATACATAAATAAAGATAATAAATATAATGCACTTAGTGTATTATAATAATGATAGCTAACATTTATTGAGTACTTTACTATCAGCCAGGCATTGTGTGGATAAACAAATAAATACCACCTTGTTTCAAGCCTTTTAGTCTTATAACATATTTTTTAATATTGTAAAGCAAGTGCTCCATCATCATCATCATCATCATCATCATCATCATCATCATTAAAATAGCATTAGCTATTCCTATGCATTTACTCCTCCAGGTAGATTTTAAAATCAACTTTCCACCTACCTCCCATCAATGTGACAAGTTTTTTGAAAAAAAAAATCCAGTTGGAATTCTAAAGGGTATCTAAGGTTGCCAGAGTAGAAAGACCCTTGGACTTGAGTCAAAGAGAAATGTTTGCTCTCCTGGTGTCCCTCCAAAGCCACGTGATCATAAGCAGTTCATTTAAAGTCTGAGCAACTGCAGCTTCCCTACCTGTAAAATGGGAGGGATAATCCTAATGGGAGGGATAATCCTTACGGGAGGTGGAAAATAGTTTAAGAAAGCCCTGGAACAGTGCTTGACACTTAATAAATGTGCTTGCTTCTGAGACAAGTGTTTTTATTGTATCTCCTGGTCCTTTGTCACCATTTTCAGTGGCAGTCCTAAGATGATCTTCAGTAAAAAGAGTTGGTGTAAGAGCAAGAGCAGCAGTGAACATGCAGGATGAAGCATAAGGCCCCCACTTCCTGTGCAAGGCAAGCTGAACATTTACGACCAGTGAAGATTAGCCAAGAGGGAGGAAAGGGAATTGGGACAAACATAGACTGTTCCATTGTGCCGGTATGTGCCACCAACCGTGGAGTGGACTTCCTGCTGCAGGACACAGCTGACCTTTGGAGAGTCACTGTCTGGGTGAGGCTGCCCTTTAGCAGGACAGAACACAGCTGTTGTTTAGATGTCAGAGGCTGGTTAATAACTGCGTTTGGCTGTCAGCTCAGGATGTTAATGGCTTCTAGGTTTAAGGAAGGCCAGAAAAACAGTATGAAGGGAATCTTTGTATTACCAAGCAGGTTCTTTAGTAATCCTTCTTTGAACAAAAATTAACACTTCACCACAGCTTTAGAAAGTATTAAGAGAACTCATAAAAGTCAGAGCAGATGTACAGGAGATCACACTTCCAGAGTTCTCTGGGGAACTATTTCTGGACTAACAAGTCCAACAAATGTGTTAATTCAGGTTGAGATTTCTAATGCAAATATTGACTCAGTCTCAACCTTTGCAGTTCATTCTCCAACTTGAATGTATCCTTTCAGAATACCTTACCTATCTATTTTCTTTCTTCGTGCCTAATAATTTGCCCACCTTTCATTTTGAAGGTGGTTGGCAGGTGGTTTTCTTAAGGGTGAGTTCTGCATTCTTTCTCTAGGTCTCAGTAATGTTTAGAGGAGTAAATATAACTATTCCTTCATTTTCTTAGTGGCATAATTGTGGGAAAGGAGGGAGAAAAGATAGGCAAGATAGTTTAAGCCAAGAGATCTTAGCAGAATGTTAATTATCCTGAGTGTTAGATCAGATTACATAAAAGTAATTTCTTGCCCACTCTTCAATATTAAAGAAAAAACTGATGATAAATTATTTTATTGATGTTTTTCCCCTAGCCCACATAATATTTTTAATTACTGTTACTAAAAACATGTGTTTTAAGGTTTGTATGAATTGATATGCAAACTGCCACATGGCTAACTGACTATTAGTTGGTTAAAATAAAATGTTTTGAATAAAAGATATGACAGGAGATATATATGTGTGTGTGTGTGTGTGTATGTGTGTCTATATTTATTTCACTTTCATTCTTGAAGGATATTTTCACTGAATATAGAATTCTGGGTTGATATTTTTTCCCACAGATGCTGTTATACTATCTTTTGGCATCCTTGGTTTCTGATGAAAAGTTAGTGGTCGCTTGGAATCATTGTTACCTTTATGTAATAATGCATAATTTTTCTCTGGCTGCTTTAAAGATTTTATTTTCTTTATCTTTGGTTTTCTTTGTACTTAGCCTGCTTGGAGTTTATTGAGCTGCTTGAATCTGTAAATTTGATGAATTTTTGGCAATTCTTTCTTTAAATATTTTTCTATCCCATTCTCTTTCTTTTCTCCTTCTGGGTCTACAGTTAAGTCTGTTTGATCTAGTCTTATAGGTCTGAGGTTCTATTCATTTATTTCCAATATTTTTCCTCTATATTCTTCAAATTGAATAATTTCTGAGTCTATCTTCAAGTTCACTGATGCTTTCTTTTATTGCTGTTCTGTTAAGCTCATCCAGTGATTTAAAAAATTTTTTGTATATTTTTTAAATTCTAGAGCTTTCAGTTGGTTCTTTTATAGTTTCTATTTATCTCTGAAGGTTTTCTGCATATTTCATATATTCCTTTATGCCATTGACTATAATTATAATAGCTACTTTAAAAATTCTTATCTGCGAATTGCAACATCTGGGTTATCTTGGGATCTCTATAGATTGTCTTTTTCTTACAGATAGGTTGCATTTTTCTATTTCTTTATATATTGATTAATTTTGGATTGTATTTTGGACATTGTGCATATTACCTTGTAGGGACTCTGAATTCTATTATATTCTGCTGTAGAGGTTTTTTGGGGAGTAGGAGGTTCCTGTTTATCTTCTTTTTTGCCTTAGCAGCAATTAGCTTGGTTTAACTAAAACCACAACCTCTGTGTCTTGGGTACCACCCCAGTTCTTGGTTATCATTTTATCCCTAGCTAGGTTGCGTGCATGGTTCAGGGGTCAGCCCAGAGATTTGGGCAGTTTTTACACAGAATTTGTGGCTCTCCCTTTCTGGCTCTATACTTACTGGATTCTTCCTTTACTCTGTCCCCCAGGAACTGCATGCTTTCCGTGAGAGCTTTAGCCACCCAGCATGGCACTGTCTGCAACCTGCCACCAGGCTAGAAGCCATAAAATTGAAAAACATGTCTAGATCTTTTTTCATCTTCCAAGTGTCACCCCCTCCTCCAAAATCTACCTACTTTCTATCTTTCTATAGTGACTTCAGATAGTTTTTTTCACATTTTGTCTTTAGTTTATAGTTGTTTTCTCCAGGGGAGACAATCCAGGAAGGCAAACCTAGTCTGTGGTGGAGGTGGGGGCGGGAATCAAAATAGTAGTTTCCTAAAGAGGAGTAAGGGTTTACTCAGGTGTGTGTGTCAAAAGTCAGTGAATGCATGCTTAGGATTTGGGCACATCACAGGATATAAATTTTACCTCAAAAGAAAAAATTAACATTGAACTGTAGCTAATGACAAGCATGCTGAATTATTTAAGGGAAGTAAAATAATATCTGTAATTCACTTTGAAATACATCAGAAAAATTAGGTAGATTAGATGGATGGAAGAATGGATGTGTGTATAGGTAAGTGGTAAAGCAAGGATAGTAAAATGTTAATGGTAGAATCCAGGTGGCCTCAAACACACTTTGTTGTATGTTTGAAAATTTTCAGAATGTTGAGAAAAATGAGGAAAAAGCGTACTTTTTAACTCCATGTGCACAGAATTTCCGAAATGCAGTTAGTTGAGCCTTCGTTGGGATCTGCTTTTATAAACAGACAAGAAAAATGTGTTATGAACATATTTGTTCTCAGTTTCTTGAGAGCTACTATAAGCAAAGGACTGTGGAATAATTAATATGAATCAAATATTTTCCCTGCCTTCTGGAAACTTGCAATCTAATGAAGGATATAAAACTAATATATATATATAGATGATTGAATACAGAATATGATGCATCCTCCAAGAGAGATACAGCCAAGCTGATGTGTGTGTTCAGGAAAGTGAGAACATACAAAGTTTGAGGGACCGTGGAGACTGCATGGAGGAGGGAGTATTTTAGAATAACAGGACAGGGGAGAGGGTATCCCAGGTGCAGAAAGGAGCCTGTGTTAGATGTTTGGAGTGATGTGAAATAAAGCTAGAAAAGTAAGACCAGGGCCTTGAAGACCGGGTTTGGGTTTTATTCAATAGATAGGTAGGAGATGTGTCTTTTAGCGAGGGCAGGAGGTGAATGCTTTAACATTCACTTATTTACCTGGTACCTAGAAATGCAGGACTCCCAGGTGGGAGCTTGTCCCCTCATCCCCTGCACCTCACTCCCCCTCACTGGGATGCTTTATTCCAATCACACCAACTTGGTGGGGTACCCAGGCTTGGGCTTTAGCTGGAAGGAGTTAGGCTAGAGAATCTCCACAATCCTTCCAGTTCCGGCATTCTGTGATCCGATGGCAGCTTGTTTCTCCGGCCGGGCGCGGTGGCTCACGCCTGTAATCCTAGCTCTTTGGGAGGCTGAGGGGGGCGGATTGCTCGAGGTCAGGAGTTCGAAACCAGCCTGAGCAAGAGCGAGACCCCGTCTCTACTATAAATACAAAGAAATTAATTGGCCAACTAATATATATAGCCGAGTATGGTGGCGTATGGCTGTAGTCCCAGCTACTCGGGAGGCTGAGGCAGCAGGATTGCTTGAGCCCAGGAGTTTGAGGTTGCTGTGAGCTAGGCTGATGCCATGGCACTCACTCTAGCCTGGGCAACAAAGCGAGACTCTGTCTCAAAAAAAAAGAAAAGAAAAAGTTGTTTCTCAAACAGATTAAATATTTCCTCTTGCAATGTTATTTTGCTTTATTAGCCAAAGCTTTCTTCATAAGGTCTGGATTGTGCTGTTAGGTGTCCAGTATTACAGGCTCCATATGCGGAGTGTCACAGCTCACGTGCTACTTCTGTGTGGCAATGTTGCCTTTCACAGACTGGAACATTTCAAACTATTGAACTTTCACGTAATAAAAAAATGACTATTGTTTAACTACCTGGGGTTATAGGGGAAAGCTTATATAGTTTCTCTTACGTGGAGGTCCAGTAGTTCTGCACATGTTACAAATGCATCTGAATAATTCCAACTAAAAATGAATTGCTCTTCACAGAATACTTATATCATCCTTCTAATTCCTGAATGCAAGTAAGTGGGATCTTAAAATTGTGTGAGACGGCACAATTTCTTTTCTTGAAAAGAAAATCTCTTACTGTGTGAGTTTTTGGTAATTGTTTTATTGTTATTATATAATGTAATAGATGTTTTGATCTTTGTCCCAGAAATGAAAGCTCCAAACAATGTATTGAATCATTGGGTGAGTGATGAAAAATTAACTCTTCATCTCTAAGCATCCAGGTTTAGGTAGATATCTGCTTGTGTCAGGAGTGAAGGCAAGATGCTGGAAATATTGTTATTTTCAGACCACTAGGGTCAAGCATTTGATGTGAGAAAGGAATGATATGCTAAAAAAGTTGTGTGATTTGGGGACATAAATTTTTTGAGGGGAAAAACAGAAAGAAGAATAGCCCAGAGCCCTCCATGAATAAGTTTGCCATTGCTGTTGTGTTTAATAACTGCCTTAGACTCGGTTTCAGAGACTCAAGTTTGACTCTTTACGGAATGCTCATTATACAGAAGAGAGATCTGTTGCAGAGAAAGTGTGTTTCTTATCTTTCATTCACTTTTCATTATTAGGAAGAGATCATGTCCTGACCACATAAAAACCATTTGAACCCAAAGGCACAACTCTCCAAGTGCCTCATATATTTGTTCTCTGAGAACTGGGCAAAGATGGTCAGTATTCACATTTATTGATGGAATGAGTCCAGAATAATTTCAGAAGCAACCACGGTCTTCTACCAAGAGAGTCTTCTCTTAGAGAACCACAGAGGGAAGGGTGTCAGATCAGAGCTTCCTCAAAGAGGCAAGGATGTATCTCTAGACCCAAGTCCCAAAGAAGGGAGGAAGGTGCTTCTTTGCCTCCGTCGGAAAATGAAGAGTACTGCATTAGAGGCTTTCTTCTACTTTAAGAATATTGCACTGAAATATGCACCATGTGGTTGTTAGCAGACAGCATGTTTTGAAACCATGTATCTTGTCAAATAATAATAACAATATTAGGTTGAGCAGTATGAAATTGCTGTCCTGCAGTTAAAGAGAGTTCAAATACTAGCAATATCAGACGGTTTAACCTAACAATAACAATAATAACATTACTTCTGCTACAGTAGTAGCAGGAGCACAGTAGTAGTAGGAGTAATGCTGGGGCACCACAGATGCTCCAAAAGAAGCAAGAGTGAGAAGGCTGAGACTCAGAGAGGTTTAGCAGACATTGAGTGTTTACTGTAAGTGCCATGCCAAGAGCTTTACACACAGGACCTCACTTATTCCAGTTATATTAAATACGTTACTCAATACTGTCTTGACCCACATTCCATTTGGTGGTTCAGCAAATATTTACTGAGGACTTGCTATGTGCTAAGTAACATACAACAATGACTAGGACAGAGTTCTTGCCCTCATAGGCTTGATTATATAGTGGGGAGGGCAGACAATAACAAGTGAACCAAAAAAATTAATTAATTACAGATCCTGGTAGGTCCAGGAAAGCAATAAACAGGGAACTGTGATAGAAAGTATAGGGTAGGCCGGCCGCGGTGGCTCACACCTGTAATCCTAGCATTCTGGGAGGCCGAGGTGGGCGGATTGCTGGAGGTCAGGAGTTCAAAACCAGCCTGAGCAAGAGCGACACCCCGTCTCTACTATAAATACAAAGAAATTAATTAGCCAACTAATATATATAGAAAAAATTAGCCGAGCCGGGCATGGTGGCGCATGCCTGTAGTCCCAGCTACTCGGGAAGCTGAGGCAGCAGGATTGCTTGAGCCCAGGAG